AGAACTGAGAATTGCAGAACTCGCCTGTGTTTTGGGTGAGGTCACATGACCAGACCAGTGGGAGAATCTCCCCTGTCTTTTGCCTGCCCAGCGGGATCGCTACGATGCTGTGTGTCGGTGACCTGCCTCGTTACTACAGCACGGTAGGTGAGCAGTTTCTGAACGATTCCATTGATTATTCAGGAGCAATATTCTTTCTTTGCTCACTGTCTTCCAGATTCATTGTGCCTGGCTTAAAACTTTAGAGACCATTATTTTATTTTATTTTATTTTATTTTATTTTATTTTATTTTATTTTATTTTATTTTATTTTATTTTATTTTATTTTATTTTATTTTATTTTATTTTATTTACCTGTGTGTGTGTGTGTGTGTGTGTGTGGTAGACTCTGAAACAGCGTTTCTCACATTTTATTGTACATCTTAAGATCATTTATGGAAAGCACCCTATGTGAGGCAAAAACTAAGTTCAGAAATCTATTAGAAATCTCTTATGGGGATATAGATTACACTGATACAATGCAAGTATCACTATTAGCATGAATGATTCTTCAAAGCATGCAGCTTGCTGAGGAGAGATGTGGCTTGTAGTGGTCAGATTTGCAATTTTCTCCTGGTGCATGATAAATCAGATGGAAAAGTTAATTTACACTGAAGTAGAGATATAGAAATTTGCGTTAGGCTTTTGACTTGGGCCAGTAGATAATCACTTAGAAAAAACGTAGCAGCTCTCAGCAGCATTTCAGTGTTGAATTTTGCAGGAAGCACCCCGTGGTTCTAGTTTTCAGTTAATTGCATTTTGGAAAAACTCATCTGTGTACCTTTAAACCCTTTGCTTCATCTGTAGTTCTCTTTTCTGCTGTGCTTGCTTGAATGGTGTTATTCATGCAGGCAGGGTCTTGATTTAGCGTCTTCCGGCAAGTATATACTTGTGCAGGTGTTGTCTGACTGCCGAAATGCCATAATTAGGACAATGTGTGGTTTCTGACCTCCGTCCCTCTGGACTCCACCCGCTCTGGTTCCCCGTGTCCACGAGGATCAGGACTCCACAGAGGACAGTGCTTGGAGAGCGAGAACAGGTGATAACGTCTCAGGTTGAGCAGACTTTGCGAGATGCGCGTTTTACTCACTTTGGTTTCTGTGGGTTCATCAGTGTGTCGTTTGACAGCCGAGGACATGTGATTCTGTCAGTTTGGACAATGTACTGTGTGAAAAAGAAGGTAAAGACTTTTCTCTTTGCTTGACTTGTGTTGCAGTTTGGCTATCTCATTTCACAGGGTTCTGATTGGTCCACAGGTTTTGTGGGAATCATTACCCATCATGCTTTTTACCTGAACTTTGAGCTATTGTATCAAAACATGTCTGCATGAATCAAGTGATAATGTTAGTATTTCTGATTTATTTGCTTTTATTTTTTGAGGTTTTGGTGATCATTTTATGTTATATTTATATAATAACAGTGTAAAGTAGATTTGATTTCTGTAAAAGCTTCTGCATTCATGCTAGAGTGTTGTGCTGGCTTGGATGTTGCTAAGGTGTTCATTTGGTGGCTTCTTACTGGCCCAAGACAAAAGATCCCAGCCAAAGTCTCTCTGATATTGTGGTTTTTAGATATGACTCTGGCTTCCAAGTCAGATTTTTTCCCCCCACATTTTTTACATTTGTAGTTAAAAATCGTAAGTCTGATAACTCTCTTCAACAAACTGCGTAATTCATTTATGTCCATGCAAATGTATAGAAGCCCATTTCTGCCACTGAATAAAAAATAAAAAAGTTAATTGTCACTTTTTATCATACAATTCGGAGAAAAAAGTCAGAATTGTGAGATATGCAAGTTATAAAGTCAGAACTCAAAATTGTGTGATATAAACTTGCAGTTTACTTCTTTTTTTTTCAGAATTGTGTACTTTTGTTAGATAAAATGGGCAATTTTATGAAATAAAGTGAAAATTACAAGATATAAACTTCCAATAGCAAGTCATGAAGTCAGAATTGCGAGATATAAACGTACAATTGCAAGTTATAAAGTCAGAACTCAAAATTGCGTGATATAAACTTGCAGTTCTGACTTTTTCCTCACAATTGTGAGTTTATATCTTGCAATGCTGACTCTATAGCAAGCAATTTAAAAAGAAAAAAGTCAGAATTGTGAGATGTAAGCTCGCAATTGCAAGAAAAAAAGTCAGGATTGTGAGATAAAAAGTCAATAAAAAGTTCTTCAGTGGCGGAAACAGGCTTCCATACAAATGATATGGGACGATTAAAAAAACAAAGTATGAATGATAGTGATGCTAACAGTTCTAAACTTAAATGATTGTGATTTTAACAGTAAAAGACTGTAAAAATGCTACAGTAAAAACCTGCTGTTGAAATAACTTTCTTCTTTTTTTTTTGTCAGTTGTGTACACTAGGGTTTAATCTTACATCTAATGTTGTTAAATTAATGTAAGTTAATGAAATACGGTATTTAATTGTGAATTTAAAATGTCAAAAATGTTGCTACCATATTTTTTACGGTGAAGTTCTGGCAACCACAGCTGCCGGTATTTTACCGTAAATGTCACAGATTTAATTTTTTACAGTGTATGCTATAAATATTCAGAATGCATGGAAATGTGAAACAAATAAAACACAACAAAGAAAATGTCTATGTTTGAGGACTTTGAACTCATCAAAAGCATGAAAATTCAGGGTTTGTTACCAAATTAGCTGATGTTATCATGTCATTATTTCTTTGTCCAGCTGAGCTTTACTTTTAACGCATCTGTCGAGCTGTACTTCTAGCACAAAATGTCATCGTTTATGAGTTGTGGGAATGATCTGTGAGTTTTGTGTTTGGAAGTTAGAGAAGAGAATGGCAGGCAATTAGACATTGGACAGATTAAGGTTGTGTTTTGTAACCTACCCTTCGCCTGGAGGCTTGACTCCCTCTCGTACGTCCCGATGCGGTGTACCTGGAGCTTTAGAAGTGGGGTGGATGGAGTCTTATCTCCTCCCTCTTTCCCTCAAAGTCAACTTTCTGCCTCCCTCCTTCACCTGTCTCCCTCCCACTCTTCTACCTGTCTCACCCTCCTTCTCTTTCTGCCTTTCCTCTCAGTCTCAGTACAGCCTACTGAGCAGCAGTATGGAACAAGGTTTGGGGAACAGAGCAGCGTCTACCAGTCCCTACAGCTCAGAGACCACCTCCAACGTGCCAACGCCGTCACCCTACTCCCAGCCAAACTCGACCTTCGAGGCCATGTCTCCAGCCCCGGCCATCCCCTCCAACACTGACTACCCCGGGCCGCACAACTTCGAGGTCACCTTCCAGCAGTCGAGCACCGCCAAGTCAGCCACCTGGACGGTGAGTACAGCGTCTCGGTTGTGGTGCAACCGTATCACGTGAGCTCCTCGTGAGCCCGTGCACACACAGTTCTTTTCCCACACTCACTGACGATTTTGCTTGCAGAGTGCAGGCATAACTTTTACTCTTCTTCAGTTGCTTGTTTGCCCTTTCTTCACTGTCTGTTTTGGCGGCTCATTTTCAAGACTCTCATTTTGGCGGCGTTCCCGCTTTGTTCCTCTTTTTCAACGTGCTTCTTAGAATTAAACATCGTAGTTTAAATGAAATTTCAAGCAGTGTCCTGTGGTGTGACATGCTGTTGTTCTCCATATAACCTACCCTGCTGTTAAAAAGTTTGGAGACTGTACGATTTTTAAACGTTTTTGAAAGAAAATTCTTATGGTCACGGTCGGAGGCTGCATTTATATGAGTAAAAATACAGTAAAAACAGTAATATTGTGAAATATTATTACAATTTAAAATAACTCTTTACATTTTAAAATATATTAAACTAGAAATGCATTCATGTGATGTTAAAGCTGAATTTTCAGCATCATTACTCCAGTCTCCAGTGTCACATGATCCTTCAGAAATCATTCTGATATTTTGTGGAAACTGTGATTTTTATTTTCTCTCAAGATTCTTTGATGAAACAGTATATTTAAATATATTTCTTATATTTATATGCATATTTAAAAAAAAAAAAAAATTAAAGAATGGAAAAGTCTTCACTGTCACTTTTGATGTAGTTAAAGCATTCTTGCCGAATAAAAGTAAAGAAAAATCATACTGACCCCAAACTCTTGAACCGTATTGTATATCTTAGTATATACTTTTTAAATAATTCTTATATTAGCAGTTTTATGACATCATTTAGATTGAAAAGTTTTATGGACTTTTTAAGTTTTTAGGAATTTTATGAGCTGCAAAATAAACTATTGTTGAAAATTGTGAAAATGAAAAATTAGACGACAATTAACAGCATCTGAAATATATTCCTGCTCTTCAACATACATATAAATTAAAACGTGATGTTAAAAGAATAAGGCAAGTCTAATTGCATGCACTTTTATGATTGTAGTTTTAAAAGGAAACTGCTACAGACTGTTCTCAGCGCTGTCTTTGAACTACAATAATTCAAAAAGTGCAAAACCTTTATATTTAGCGTCAGTTTAGTTTGTCTTATCAAAAACGCTATGAAGTTTGAAATTCCTTAGTAAACCCTTTAAATGACAGAATCATCAAGTTTAATTCTTTAGTGCATCTAATGTTTGGTTGTGTTTACGTTTGCTTTGGCTTTTAGAATTTGTTGGAGCTCAAAGCAAGTTATTCTCAAACTAAAGATCTTGCACAATAACCTGTTTTGTTACCATTTGCACATGATTCGTCTTGAAATTTAAGGCAACTAATGAAACTTGGGAGGTGAATTTTCCTTGTACGCCTTAATGCTACGGCATTGTTATGGTATATAATAGCAGTAAGGTGTTGTTAGCATGTAGATGTGCAGTTGCTAGGGTCTTCTGAGTGGTTGCTAGTGCATTGCTTGGTGGTTGCTTACAGAATTATTAACCTTAAGTTATCGGTTAGTTCAGATCTGTATATGAGAGATAGTACTCATAAGGTTTTTCTTAAGCAAAGTGCATCCACACAGGAAAAGAATCACAGTAATGTCAAGCAGAGGAGCTTGAAACCAGAGCAGTCCATGTTTTCCCCAAAGTCCAAAGGTGCTACATCAGTCTGTCATGAAGATGACCCTCTGAAACAGGAGATGGGGCTCTGTTTGTAGGATGAAGTCAAGCGTGAGGCTTGGTCTCTGACTTTCTGTGGACGTGTAAGGTGATTGCGGTCCCAGGAAGGTGAGTGCTATGGCCATCACTCAGCGTCGGCCTGAGAAGACTGTCACCTCTGACGCGCCACGTTCCGCTCCATTCTCAAAGACCAGGCCCCTGTGAGCAACAATAACAGCAGGATAAGCTTTTAAAATGGGCATAAGTGGAGTTTGCAGCACAGATTGCTGTTTACGTTTTAGGATAAGAGAAGCAGGCCCTACATTTGAGTGTGTTTGGCTCCTTAGCTAGCGCCATAGATATAATGATACTGTGTTACATACTATCTTGTTTTCTCTATATTAAATCTTCATGCATGTGGAACTCTGTGGGAATGTTCCTTGCATAGTGGATCAAAATTTCGGATTGGTCTAGATTGAACTAACCATCATACGTTTTCAGGATTTTGAGCTTTCGACTCAAAGTGTGCATGAAATGAATTAAAATATTAATGTCAGCATTTCTGATCAAAACTGTGTCATAGTTGTTTACATATGACATTACTTCAGTCAATGAAGATTAGAAATAATGTTTAGAAAGCACAATATTTGCTTAACCCTAACACTTTCTAAGCCTGTTTAACTTTCTTTCTTCTGTGGTACATAAAATATGTTTTTTTTTTTATTATTATTGTCTTATTGTTTTTGTTTTTTTGTCCATGGAACCAACATTCTTAATTTTTTTTTAAATCTTTTGTGTTCTGCAGAAAAAAGAAAGAAATGCAGGTTTGAAAACAGCATGAGAGTGAGTAAATCATTTTTGGGTGAAGTATGCACTGAGAAGTTTGAAGAATTTTGAAAATTTGCACATAAAAAAAAAAAAATTCAAAATATAATTTCTGCAATGGCATCCATCTCTGAAGACTCCTGCATGATTCTGCATGAAAATGATGCTCCATGCCACTAGTTGTCAGTAAGTCCAAGATGATTGCTGTAGTGCAACATAAACAATAAAAAATGATTAAGTGCACCTTTAAAGGGGACGTGTTTTTGTTTATTTGGCAGGGGCTGATATGATAGAAGTCACTTACTATGACACTTAGTGCTGATGCAGCAAACAAAGTAGGTTACCAATATGCCATTGTGGAAATATCTCATTGTCCCATGATTTATTCATTCCACAACCCCAAGAATCCAATAACAGTAGGGTTATCGAGATTAAGAAAGTACTATTCAGCTGATCATGTGACAGCAGCTTGTGGGCCTCCATGTTAAAAATAATAATTTAGAGTACTGATATATGCTGAGTCTTCATATAATGTGAGTGGACATTACTTTAAACATATTCATAAAAACTGAAAAGTATGTCTAAAGCAGTTATGTTGAGCTTGTTTTAGTTGGAGGTGGTACTAATTTTTATTTTTATTTTTTGTCAAAGCTTATGAGTAAACAAGTTTACATTTTCAGTTAGTAATTTCAAATTTGTCATTTATACTCTAATCAAGTTTACATCTTGTTGCCATCCACTACATCACAAAACATCCTCCTTTACTAAAATTAAAGGTTCCTAAAGGGGGGTTTTGTTGTGATCCCATAGGAGAACCATTTTTTTTTGGTTCCCCAAAAACCTTTCAATAAACAGTTCTTAAAAGAACCACTTTTTCTTAGAGACCATTTTAACAATCTAAAGAACCGTTTTACTATAAAGAACCTTTTGTGCAATGGAAATGTTCCAGGGATGTTAAACGTTCTTCATGGAACCATCAGTGGCAATAAATAACTTTTATTTTTAAGAGTGTTGGGGCCAGATTTACTAACAGCTTGCGCCAACGCAAACTGTCTTTTGGCGTTAAAATAGTACTGTGTCAGGATTTACTAAAGACGCGCAGTGACGAATTAGCGCTGAAAAGGCGTGGACAGTTATTTTTGTGCCTAAACTTTTTGAATATGCATTTGTAGGAGTTTCCCTTTCAGACACAAAATTTATGGGAGGAGAGAATTAAAATGAACCACGCAATGCAATTTACTAACATTTGCTCTCGTCAAATTACTGGTATTTGCGCCATTTTTTAACGTCCAAAAAAAAAGCATGTCTTAAACTATTTAGCGCCTGCGTCGTAAGTAGATCACCCGCAACTGATAGGCATCAGCTCTGCATTCAATTTGCGCTGTGCTTGGTATATTGCGTTGGTCGATATGTAAATGAGATGTTGCGTCTGTGTTCTTTAATTTGCGCATCGTTAGTAAATCACCCGCAGAAATGTCCACGCCCATCGGTGCTGTTTTGGAGTTGTGCTCTCGCCCTAATTTGCCCTGTTTAGTAAAACTGGTCCTTGGTGTCTTCACCCCACAAATTGAAGGCAGATTTCAAAGCAAATTCAGAAATTAGTATTGGTTCTTCTATATAAAGTAACATTTCCAAAGGTGGCAGTACGGGAGGAAGATTCTCTTGCATTTGATTGGACAGAAATATCTTTACGATCGTAAATGCAAGATGACTCATCAATATGTTTGATCTGTTTTCCTGGAACAGAAAAAAAAGTTACATCTGATCTTTAAAAAAAAGACAAAGAAAAGCCACATCTGATTCATTTAAAGAATATCATAGATTCCACGCCTTTTTTGTAACTTCAGAACATCTACTAGATGCAAATGTCCATCACAGAAGCTGCTTGCCTTGCTACTTTTATTTATTTACTTTTTTTGCGACAGCTTTCGTTTTCACTCTGCCGCCCACTCTAAAGACCATTAAATTGTTTACTTTATCCTCCAAAAGAAACGGAGAAAGGCAGAAATGGCTCAGGATTATTGTCAAGTTATGTGGAATGCCAATGTAACCTCAAACTCGGGGAATTTCCAGGCGTAATACAAAGGCTTGCAGGCTGAGGATATCTGGGATTACTGTGTAAGGGGTAAGTGAGTCATTGTGTGGCAAACTGAAGGGTTAAAGCATGATGCTCTTGGGTCTGTGTAGCCTCGGGATGCTTTGGGAGAGGCATGGGGGCATTTTGACTGTAATCTACTTGATCCGCAGTGGGCTTCTCACCGCTACCTGAAACAACATTCCTCTCAGCCAGCCTCACGGATGAACCTTTCGTACATTCCGTGTTGCACAATCACCTGTGTTAGAATTGCCGTGGTAATGTTTCCTCACTCACACGAATTCTGGCTTTGATGTCTGCCAATAATTTTGCTTGTATTAATTGTTTTAATAAACCGCATGTCATGTCACAGGGCTTTCACACAACCTGCTTAAAGGAGTATATGAGTGACATGCACACATTTACTCATCTTCATGTTAATTCACGTTCTTTCTTCAGGATGACACAAAAGAAGATGCTTTGCAGAATGTCTTAACTGCTCTTTTCCATATAACTGATTTTTATTGCTATACTTCAGTTTCAGTTTTTTTTTGTAAGTTTTATTAATTGTGTTATGCCAATTTTTATTTATTTTTTTGTTCTTTAAAAAAAACATTTAGCTTTTATTTATTTTATAATACTTTTTATTTTATTTATTTCAAATTTTCATTTAAGATTTTTAAGTGTAGGTTGTGTCTGTTGTGTTTATATTTCATTTTATTTCAGATTTATTTCAATTTATGAAAATATTTGTAATAATTTTAATTTTAGTTTTCGTTTAGTAAACAATAACAGCACTGATGGGGACCGTGGAATGAATGAATGAATGTAGTCCATACTACATGTGCACAACATTTCAAGTCTTCTGAAGCCATACAATAGCTTCAGAAGCGACTGGAAGTTTTAATCTTTATTTCTTGCACACATTCATATTGGTAGCAGCTCTTAAATCTCATTTGCATTTGTGCATATTCAGAATTGTTACACCAGGAGGGGAAGATTTTTAAGAAATAATCATTTCAATTTTAGTCATTTCATCACTCAATCAGAACAGTGCATTTATGAAACCATATCATAATTTTTTTCTCTCTCATTACCATTCATTTTCAGGAGGCAGGCAAGGCATTCTACAAAATAACTACTTTTGTGTTGAATGGAAGAAAGACATTTGGAACAGTTTGAGGGTGAATAATTGTAACAGATTTTTATTTTCATTCAAATACTTTCCTTCTTATCATTCTCTGCTTTTATTTAGTAATAATAAATAAGATCGTAGGCAGTAATGCTCAAAGTCGACCAGTGTATCAGTGTAGAGTTCAGAGTCCACGTCTCTGTCCTTGGTTCTGAAGTCCTTCCGTTCATTCAGCTGCGCTTCTCAGATGACCTTGTGCGAGCTCCTAAAGCTGGGGCTTTTTTCATCGCTGAAAAGGTTTTAAGGTCATTTTCTGCTATCTTCCTGAATCATGTCTGGGCCTTTGCCTCTGTCTTTTTAGGCCCCAATTATGGTATGATATCACCGAGTGAATCATAAAAACAAATTGTGTGTTAGGGATAACTGTTTAAAGACTCGCTCTCAAACGCACATTATAGGCTTAAAGCAGGAGCTGTCATAAGGGATGAAAATGAGTTCTGACACCTCAGCTTTTCCAATAAAGACCCCCACACTTTTTTTTATCATTTTCCTCTAAGAAATATTCCAAGAACAATTAAAAAAAAAAAAAATCTGAAGAATATTTCAGCTGTTTTTGTCTGTACAATGAAAGTAAGTGTGGTCCAAAACAACACTTGTGGGCATCGGACATTTTTCAAAATATCTTCTTTTGTGTTCCACAAAACAGATTCTTACAGGAATGACATGAGAGTGAAAAAAATGATGGCAGAATTTTTATTTTTGGCGAAAAAACTCATCGTGGCTCCTAAAAGAACAAAGAAAACCTCCAAAGAAAAAAAACCCCTCCTTGTTCATTTGAACAACATATGTTTATTCTAACTATTCTATTATTGTAATATGTTTTATATTACTGCAATATGTTTTCCTTCATCATGTACTTTAAGTATTAAAATGATGAAGTCTTTATTACTATTTCATTTTTAAGGAACTTGAATTTTTTTTCTTTATTTGCAGTGTGCAACTGTTTCTCGCAGAGTGTCTCGGGAGGAACAACGGAGCGGTAGCGTATGTGATGCTGGCTGCAATTTCACAGCCGTTAGCATAGGCAGCACATTTGTGAATTTATTGACGGAGATGGGGAGTTGGCTGAATTTGCGAGTGGCATGCTGAAACATGTCCATCAGGCTGTCAGACTCGTCATTATCACTTAGGCCGCCGAGCCTGCCCGAACGCGCGCCTTTCCAATGCTCACCTTCCTCCAGCCCATCATCTTATTCCACCGTACACTGTGTCTACACTGCAGGCGAGCAATGCAGCGCTGCCAATGTAATCAAGCAAGCTGTCTACAAACCAAATGCGTGTTCCCTGCTTTGTTTTGCGTGCTTGCAATATAGAGGGCTTTGTTTAAAAATTATGAAATTATTGTATTCAATTTAATATTGTTTCACAGAATTTCACACATGTAGGTCCAGCTTTTGATAGTCCAGTTCACTGGGCTCTCGGTTGATTTGAGCCCTCAAGGATTCCTGTCCACGTCAGAGTTTTCTCTAGTGTGTAGAGCTTTTGTCTTTTCATGGATTACTGCAAAATACTTCAGGTTAAAGACTTAAAAAAAAATCAAGGCTCCAATTAAAAGCAGAAAGGGTTAATTCTGACCATCTGATGCCACACACGCTTAAAAATGGTTCTTTGTTGTATTTGTGGTTTCATGAAGAAACTTTCACATCCATGGAATCTTTCCACTGCACAAAAAGTTCTTTATAGAGGGAGAAAAAAAAAAGTCTATTCTGACTAGAAAAATGTTCTTCGCAATAAGAAACAATGGTTCTTT